AGCCCGAGGCGAAGGAGGAGAAAGGGAGGAATGAGGAGGGCCCGAGGAGCTGCAGAGCGGAGTGAGAACCCCCTGGTCAAATGCAGTAAGAGGCCGGGGTGGGCAGCGCCTGGTGGGAACACGGGGTGAGACACGGGTCGCCTGCTGCATGGAGAGGTGAGGAATTCGTTAAGTCAATCAGTTAATCAGTTAGTTAAAAGAGCTGAAATAAGTGCCAATGAAGTGTTTTTTAACATTTCTAGTTGAGAAGGTAGAATTTTGCAGTTGGGAGTCAGGCTGGGAGTGTTCTCGCTGACCCTAAGCCTCCCTTCCCTCTGGACACCTTCTTGCACGTCTCCTCAGGGTCATGGGAAAAGGAATTATTTCAAGGATGTAATTCTGCCACTGGACTTTAGATGTCTCTTCTGAGATATGATGAAACACACATTGAAAGACAAGACTTTCCACCTGCAGGCAGCTGGGGCAGCCTTTGCATCATACAAAGCTGCCTGAGTTGTCAGCTGCTGTTATCTTGTGTCTTGTGAAGAGCAGAGGGTGATACCAGCCTGTAGGCAGGACCTCTACGCATTGGTGGCTGTTCTGAAGCAGGAAAAAATGCTGGAGATACTTCTACCCACCTATCTACAGTTTAGTCCACCTAGTCATCCATCTTTGTCTACACATACACCCATAGACGGTCCATCCATCTACCCTCTTTCCCCCGTACCCTGCTCTGTGTGTTCTTATCCCCCCTGCCACCAGCTGTATAAAAGTGTTTGGCGTGTCCTGTGGTTAAGCAAGGAAGGAACTGGGTTTCCAGGAGGAGCTGGCTGGAAATCTAAGAGACTGAGAATTATTTGCATGGGAAGAAGCATCCCTGTGGTTCACAGGATGAAAGGTGGAGATGAACAGCTGGTTTCTGTGTGGCATGTGCTGGCAGGCGAGTGGGTGAGCTGGAGCTACTCTGCATACGCAGTGTGGTCTGCTCAGCCTCTGTCTGCTTTGATGGGTCACGGTGGTGATGTTAGCTGGAGATGCTGGCAGGCTGTACATGCATTCTTCTTTAAACTCCTCCATAAAGGGCAGATGGCTGTACCTGGGTGCAGCCTAGTAGTCCTTCATTGCAAACTGTCAAAAAAAGGCAGTTTAAGGGACCTTTGGATATGTCTCAAACTTGTGTTTCCCTCCCACCTCCCTCTGTCTTATGGTGTTTCACTGGATAGAACTTCCTAGAAAGACAAAATCCAGCATGTCTTTTCTCACTTCCTCCTTATAACTGCACTGTATCCATCTAACAAGATGTGATGGGGGAAGGAAACACGCCAGCAGTCAGTCCCAACCCGTAACAGAGCCCCAGCACCAGCACCTGAGGAAGCCCCACACTTCTGCTTCTGTCACAGGGCAAAGCCTGCCCAAAACTGCTGCTCAGATACATAAGAATCATAGAATCACAGAATGGTTTGGATTGGAAGGGACCTTCAAAGATCACCTTTTTCAACCCACCTGCCTTGGGCAGGGACATCTTTCAACTAGATCAGGTTGCTCAAAGCCCCGTCCAACCTGACCTTGAACCTTTCCAATGATGGGGCATCCACAGCTTCTCTGGGCAGCCTCTTTCCACCCTTTCACCACCCTCATTGTAAAAAATGTCTTCCTTATGTCTAATCTAAGTCTACCTTCTTTCACTGTAAAACTGTTGCCCCTTGTCCTGTCACTACAGACCCTGTTAAAAAGTCTTTCTGTCTTGCCTATAAGTCCCCTATATATATTGAAAGGCCACAATAAGGTCTCCCTGGAGCCTTCTCTTTTCCAAACCCAACTCTCTCAGCCTTTCTTCATAAGAGAGGTATTCCAGCCCTTGGATCATTTCCATGGCCCTCCTGTGGACCTGCTCTAACGCGTCCGTGTCTTTCTTATACCGGGGGCTCCAGAGCTGGACGCAGTACTCCAGGTGGGGTCTCACCAGAGTGGAGCAGAGGGGCAGAATCACCTCCCTCAACCTGCTGGCCACACTTCTTCTGATGCAGCCCAGGATACGACTGACTTTCTGGGCTGTAAGTACACATTGCTGGCTCAGTTTTTCATCCACCAGTATCCCCAAGTCCTTCTCTGTAGGGCTGCTCTCAATCCATTCATCCCCTGTATTGATATTGGAGATTGCCCCAACCCAGGTGCAGGACCTTGCACTTGGCCTTGTTGAACTTCATGTGCTCAGCTCTCACTCACCAGATGATTGTTAAGTGCTAGGTAGACAACCAAGCACAGATCCACGATACAGGACAGGGTTATCTGAAAGCTCTGGGCTGCAACTGACATGCTGCAATGGTCTGAGTGAGCAGAAAAGAAACAAGGAAGAACAGACGAACTCTTCAAAATTTCACAGCTTTATAGCATACTTAGAGAGGGAGACCAGACTGTGATAATAACCTAGGTAACGACAGCTTTGGATATGAAGAAGCTCTCAGTTGTTGACCTGAGGTTATGTTACCAATGAAGCCATTGACAGTTTATGTTGCATGTCTGTTAGAAAATGTTAAATAGTGAAAACAATAACCTGCTGGGGAATACACCGGCCTATGCCCAGCACTGTGCCCAGGGCTGTCCTCACAGTGGAACTGCTACATGTAAAGGCCAGCTCGCCAGCCAGGTCTGGACACCTCCAACAGCGGCAGCAAGTGTCCCATTCCCCAGCTAGCTCTGTCAGTAGAGCATGAGACTGTTAATCTCAGGATTGTGGGTTCAAGCCCCACATTGGGCACCAAAAAGGACTGTCATGGTTTAACCCCACCTGGCAACTGAGCACCACACAGCCACTCACTCACTCCTCCCCAGCAGGTTGTGGGGAGGGAATGGGAAGGGTAAAAGTGAGAAAACACTTGGGTTATAAGATAAAGACAGTTTAATAATTGAAATAAAATAATAATAATAATAATAATAATAATAATAAATTGTAATGAAAAGGAAAATAACAGAGAGAAATAAAACCCAAGAAAGACAAGTGATGCAAACAAAAACAATTGCTCACCACCAACTCACCGATGCCCAGCCAGTCCCTGAGCAGCGGCCAACCTTCCCCCTAGTTTTACTGCTGAGCAAGATCTCATACGGAGTGGAATACGCCTTCGGTCAGTTGGGGTCAGCTGTCCCAGCTGTGTCCCCTCCCAGCTCCTTGTGCACCCTCAGGCTGCTTGCTGGTGGGGTGGGGTGAGGAGCAGAAAAGGCCTTGACTCTGTGTAAGCACTGCTCAGCAATAACGAAAATATCCCTCTGTTATCAACACTGTTTCCAGCACAAATCCAAAACACAGCACCATCCTAGCTACTATGAAGAAAATTAACTCTATCCCAGCCAAAACCAGCACGTTCGCACAGCGGGCTTGGACCAGAAGCCTTGAGTGGTGTATGCTCTGCACAGACATGTGTTTGTATGAATAAAAATCAGTATCCACCTGCTATAGCCATCCTGCTTGGTAAATAGGACCTAAAACGTATGCCACTGAGTGGTGATGGTCAGTGCTTGCGGCTACCTCATCTCCAGTTGCCTCAGGGCAGCTGTGCTGGGGACACCCTTGGGACTGGAAACCAGCCCATTTCCATACCCCTTATGATCCAAGCATGAGTCTGGATTTACACAAGAGGAGAAAGATGAGAATCCATCCCTGGTCGCTTCTTGTCAGGGGAGCCTCTGGATTTACTGTAGTGTGAAAGCAAATGCCAGTTCTTCAGTATCCATAAATAAGTATTTCCAGTGTAGAGTTAATTGGTCCTGACTGCAGGCAGCCAAACTAGTTTTGTGCAGACCACAATTATACTGCAAGCCCTGATGTGGGAACTGGTTGGCACAGTGCTGCAGCTGAAGAATTATCGTCTTGGCATTGCAATTGGCAAGCCATAGACTTTGTGTTAGCACTGCAAGCCTCAGGACTTGTCCTGTTCTACTTGGAGAATGACTCGGTGATTATTACCTAGCTTGTTTTTAGCATTGGCTTTGCTTTGGGCAATGGAGTAATGCTTATAATAATGTTAATACATTTCTGTAACGAGTAGATAATAATAACTAGTTATTATTCTGTGTAGACTGAATTATTTATGACCCCAGAATAAAAATGAAATGAAAAGGAGTGTATTTGGTTTATGTGGCAAGGTGTTGGTAGCACGGGGGCTGCAGGGTGGCCTTTTTGAGAAGAGACCAGGGGCTGCCCCCATGTCAGACAGAGCCAGTTTCAACTAGCTCTAAAACAGACGCACCAC